TATATATATTATTATTATTATTATTATTTTTTTTTGTGATAATAAGATGTTAACCTAATATCTTATGCATCTGCATATTTTATCACTAAACGGACCAAAAATATGATGGACCAGACCAGCTGGATTAAATAGCAAAACTTGTTTTGATTTTTGAATAAAATTTAGTAACAATGACTATTAAAAATCTTTATCCGTCAAAAGCGTCACTGATGTATAAATTGTGTAAATTTCGATTCTTCACCCAAATAAGTTTGGTTTCATTATTAACTAAGATTTATGCAGGAGCATTGTACATGTTAATGTATATTATATATCTTTAATATTTGTAGTTACTTTTTTTTAGATATGTGTTTGTAAATAAAAATTAAGAAATTTCAATTAGATTAAAATTGAAAAAGTTGTATTACTAGTATGATATATATATTTTTTATATAAATATATGATATGGTATTTATTATTTTAATTATGATTTTATAAAAATATTTTAATAAAAAATAAATATCAGTAAAATATTTTTAAAATTATTGTTCATAAAAAATATATTTTTAAAGTAATTAAATTAAAATAAAAAATACATATAAGAATAAAAATATTGTTATTATTATTATTGTTATTATTAATTGAGTACAAATAATAATATTTATCTATAACAAAATATAATAATTAATATTAATGTAAGTAATTTATTTCTTTATTAAATATAATTACTTTCATTAAATTGATTTAATCTTCAAATTACGATCGACGTAGTGAAGGTTGAAATAATATGTAAAGAGTCTCATACTTCAAGTTTGTTGCGGTCAACAATATCGTCCATGTTACTCCAACTCCCTCACCAATTTATTTTTTATATGAAAACTAACTTATATTAATTTTCTTAAAGAAAAATATATTACAATAAAGAATATATTTAATTTCATACATAAACAAATACGTATACGAAAGTATCAAAATTATTAATAACTGAATTTTTTTAAAAAATATTTGTAAAATTTTTAACGATAATGATTTGAGAGTGTTTAATATACAGTGATAAAATTTAATATAAAATTAAATGTATAACTAACTTAATTATTAAAACAATGAAACCCCCCATGAGATATTATTTCATTCTTATAGTGATCTAACGATTCAATTCTATCGTACTAAAGTTTTCCAACTTAATCTAATTTTCAAATTCTCCAAATGCACAACTTGGAACTGCTTAGCAACTTCAGCCACACTCCCATAATGAATGTGCTCTTTCACGTTTCGTAGGATGCCATGTTTTGACCCAACACAAACCAACGAATTAGCACATTCTATTTTCATTTGTTGTGTTGGCTGCCATAATAGTAAAAGCTTATTATTACTATTTCTATTGTTTGAGTTGTCATTGTTCTAAAGCTTCACTTATGTTCTGGGGTTGGGGTAAAAACATAACTGTGTTTTTAAGAATGTATTGCATGTTTACATGACTTTTTGAAAAAGCTTAAGGCTAGGATTTGTTATCAAAGGTACAGGCAGGTTTCACCAACAAGCTATACAGAGGTGAGGAAAACTATAGACATGATCCAAATGTAGAAGTTGTGTTTTCAACTATAGTTTGTAGCATATGAAGCTGATGCTAAATTGCTAATTGGAGGACACACTTGGTTGTTTGATTGCACCTCATTCACCAGAAGCGGAAAAATGTTATCAACTTGTAGGATTTTGATAATCCAACTTTTACCATTAATCATTGCAGATGGACAATTCAAATAATCATATAATGTTTCATTATTTCCTTATATTGCAATGTCACTAAGCAACTCAAGTTGATACAGATAGATTAAGCATTTGACACAATGCAACTGCTGAATTCAATCATCTGAACCATATCAAAGCCAAGAAGGACGATTTGAAGGATTCCAATATCAAGAAAAATAATGTTGTTAGCCAAACAGGATGATTTGAAGGATTCCAACACCAAGAAATATAATGTTCTTATCAAAAAATTAAAGTCAATTGACTAAAACAAAAAAAGAAGAAAGCTTCACATGGGTGTTTTTCCATAGGTACGAGAATAGTAACATGCATAAATAAATAAGGATCATTGTTTTAATCCCTGATATAAGTATTTGTTATTAAAATTTTGTTGATTTTAAAATTTACCGCTATTGAGTTTTTGGTGGAAGATGAATTTGGGTTGAATTTTAAATAAAAATAAAAATTATATTTTATCTCTTCAATTTTATATCTTCCCATTTCTTAAAAGGTGATATTATGTTTTCATTCCTTAAAAGTTGAAATCGCAAGAAAGCTAAATTGTTGTACAACAAAAACAATACATGGATAACTATAAAAAAAAAACATTATTGATAAATATTTATAGCTTTACATTCAAATACCTTACAAATACCTTACATTAGTTTGGTTTTTTAATAGGACTCAAATTTTTAAATTAGTTTGATTTTTTTTATAGGATCCAATCTATTATATCTCAAACATTAATTTCTTCTTTATAAAAATATCCTTATTAAGTGTATTTAGTGAGTTCAAAAAGTAAGTAATAAAATACAAATAGTTTCACTTATGTTTTTAGAATGTAAAAACTTTAAAAAACGTATATCAAATGTTTCATTAATTATTTATGGGTAGTTTTAGAAAGAAATAAAAACTTAAGACATGTTTATTAATCTTAACTAAAAATTTAACTTTTCTTAATCCCAACAAACTAGTTACTTAATTTTTATTATAAAGAGTAGAACTAGTACATCATAATTATTCTCCATAAAATTTTATATTTTAAAAATATTTTTTTTTCATTTTTAATACTGTCAAAAATCTCTATATAAGTAACTATAATTATTCAACATCCACCTCCAGCCATCTATCATAAGTAACTAAACTTGCTTGTGTCAGAAACGAGAGTAAAAAATAAAATTGTAATACTACAAAAATTAAACTAAAAGCCTAAAACTTTAAATGTGTATAGAAAGAAATTTGATATACTAACTTATTTGCTTTTTATAATATTATAACATAATAATATTATATAACAGGGACGAAGACGTAAACTGTCACTGCAGACTTGTCTCTTTTTTTTTTTTTTTAAGAATATTATAATAACTTTTAAGAAGATGGACAAAGAAGGAAAAGTCAACAAACATTAAAAAATTAGTAAATATTATTGCATTAATTAGTACGATCTGGCAATTTAATTTTTTATAATATTAAAATATATATTATTAGTGGAACTAATATAATATAACATTTATATTTTATATTATGAGTAGAAATTGAAAACATAGTCGGCGACTGCCCCACAAGATAACTCAAAAATCCGTCACGCACATCAATGAATAAGAAAATTAAATATAAATATAAAACTTAGCATAATAATTAATAAATATACATTATTTATATCAATACATAAAGTAGTCTGACAGATAAATTAATCCTTACAACCAACACCTCAAGATTCATGTTTGACAAATAAGATCAAATTATTTTGTTAAGAAAAAAAATCTTACAACACTTTAATAGCGAGCGACTTTATACATTTTAAATGCTTGAAGATTAAAATTTTAAAAAATTAAATCATATATAAATGTGTTTAA